AATCACCGCCGCCCCTCGCCTTTCTGGAAACGTCTATTGGGCCAAACGTCTGGACAACATCTGGCCGAGCTACTCGTTTATATGTCCCCCCAGTAGAGAGACATATGTATATATATATATATATATATATATGTATATATATGTATATATATAATATATGTTTTATATATATATATATATATATATATATATATATATATATATTTATACACATATATGTATATACATGTGTGTGTGTGTTTATGTATACACACATATATTTAGATATATAGAGAGAAAGAGTCAGAGAAATAGTCAGAGAGAGAGAGAGAGAGAAAGAGAGAAGAGGAGGAGAGCAAGAGGAGAGCGAGGATAAGGAGGAGGAGGAGGAGAAGGAGGAGGAGGAGGAGGAGGGGAGCGAGGTTAAGGAGGAGGAAGAGGAGGACCAGCAGGAGGAGGAGGAGGAGGAGGAGGAGGAGGAGGAGGAGGGCCTCTTGGGCTCCTCCTTCTGGGGCCTCCCGGGGGCGCCTCGTGGGCGCCTCGTGCGCCGTGCGGCTGTGCCGAGGGCTCGCCCGGTGCCCGGCTGGGTGGCCGCCCGTGGGCGCCCCGTGGGCCACCCGTGCGCGGGGTGGCCGTGCCGAGGCGGCCGCCCGGAGCTCGCCCGCGGCCGCCCCGGGGCGCCCCGGCGCGGCCGCACGGCCGCACGGCTCTCCGGGGGCCCCCAGGCGGTGCGGTGAGCACACCGTGCGGTGGGTCGGCGGCTGCTGCCTTCCCCGTTTGCTGGGCGGCGCGTTTCGCGGGCGTTTTTTTTTTTTTGGGTCTGTTCCGGGGCTTTGCCCTCTCTTGGCCTTGACGTGAGGCCCCGCCTTCTTTTTTCCCCCCTCTGTCAATGAAAGCTGTGCGCGACCCGCTTAGCTTCGGCCGGAAGAGGCTCGCTTTCGACCCGCGGATCAAAAAAAAGTTTCGCAGGCTTCGGCGGGGGGGGGGTCTCTTTCGCCCACGCGGCGCGCCCGAGGGAGCAAGGGCGGCAGGGCCAGGCGGGCGGCGCTTCCAAGAAGGCATCCCGCCACTCCGGAGCCTGCCGTGCTCTCTTCGGGGGCCCCCAAACGGGGTGGTGACCACACCGTGCGTTGAGTCGGTGGGGATTCGGGGTCACCGCACGGTTGTGGGTCTCGGGTCGTTCTGCGAGTACGTCTCGGGCGACAGGGGCCTCCAGGGTCCCAAGACCGTGCGGTGACGGACCGTGCGGTGAGGTCCCTTGGGGTTCCGAGGTCACCGCACGGTCTGTCACCGCACCGTTTCGGGACTCCAAAAGCTCGCACCACAGCGCTCGGGGGCGGCAAAGAGGGGGGTGATGACTAGGGGGGTCGGACATCATGGCGGGGGCCATGGTATCTCCCCAGATTTCAGGGCGCCGCTTCTTATCTCATTACGTCCCTGGCCCCCCCCCCAAGGGCCGCGCACATGCCGCCGGCCACGATTTGCACCTCCCCCTCGTGGACGCCCCCCTCTTGGCCGCCCCCGTAGCGCTTGCACCACTGCAGCCTGCACCACTTCCACCGCGCAGCTTTGAGGCCACACAGCTTTCACCACATTGCTGCCTACACTTAAGTCGGGCCTGTCCCTCTACAGGGGGGATATTCAAAAATAGTCAAAAAAAAGTCGGGGGACTATTTTTTGAGTTTTTTCTTTGACCATTTTGGAGTATTTTTTAGTATTTCTTATTTTTCGTCGAAAATCCCCCTGTAGGGGGACACGCCCGACCTAAGCCTACACCACGCAGCTTTCACCACGCTGCAACTACATATGGATCGGGGTCCACGCAGGCCGACGTTTTTCCCAACCATCCTGTGGCGTGGCGTCCTCGTTTTGAAGAGACATCGCCCCGCGTTACTCCTCCTTCTCCTCCCCCTTCCGCCTCTTCCCATCCCTGCCTCTGCCCTTCGCATGTCCACCATTTCGGCACACACCCCACGCGTTTCGTGGGCCTCATCGGGAGCTCCACCGAAGGCCCCGTGGCACCGTTCGCATGTATTCCCGCCGTTCATTTTGGCACACCCCTCACGCGATTCGTGGCCCCATAGGGAGCTCCACCGAAGGCCCCAGTGGCTGCGTTCACATGCGTCCCCGCCACCGATTTCGGCACACACCTCACCGTGTCGTGGCCCCATTGGGAGTTCCGCCGAAGGTCCCCATAGCACCGTTCGCATGCGTCCCCTCCACCCATGTCGGCACACTTTTCACATGTTTTGTGGCGCTATTGGTCCCAATTGTATCGTTCGCATGCGTCCTCGCCATCCACTTCGGCACACCTGTTGCACGTTTCTTGGCCCAACAAGGAGTTTCATGTGAGGATTTTGTGGTATCGTTTGCCTGCGTCCTCGCCACCCATTCTGGCACACCCCTCACACGTTTCGTGGCTCCATTGGGAGCTCCACCGAAGGTCCCAGTGGTGCCGTTCGCATGCGTCCCCGCCACTAATTTCGGCACGCCACTCACGTGGTACACACCTCACACGTTTCGTGGCCCTCATCGGTAGCTTCACCGAAGGTCCCAGCACCGTTCGCATGCGCCTCCGCCACCCATGTCGGCCCACCCCTCGCACGTTGCGTGGCCCCTATGAAAGAGCTCCACCCATGGCCCCAGTGGCGTCTCTCGCACGCGTCCCCCGCACCCACCACGACACACCATCTCACCCCTCACACGTTGCGCGGTCCCATAGGGGTTCCACCCAAGGCCCGAGGCGGCGTTCGCCTGCGGCCTGTCCGCGCCCACCTCAGCACACCCATCACGCGCTTCGTGGCCCGAGAAGGAGCTCCCACGAGAGCGGTACCCACAACGCGGTACTCACGATTGCATCTGCTTGGGTTTTTCTCTCTGGCGTAGAATTAGCGATGAGCAAGGCGCACACGCTGCTGAGATCCCAGGGCGAGTGCAACGTGGCGAATTGCCTCAGTGCACGGATGGGGACCGGGCTGCTCAGGTGCCGAAGCCTCATCCGCGCAGCCTGATGAGGAGGAGGGGGAGGAGGAGGAGGAGGAAGAGGAGGAGGAGGAGGCGGAGGAGGAGGAGGAGGAGGCGGAGGAGGAGAGGAAGGAGAGGAGGAGTAGGAGGAGGAGGAGGAGGAGGAGGAGGAGGAGGAGGAGGAGGAGGCCCCACTTGGGAGCTGGTGGACTCGATCGGCAGTTGTTTCAAAAGCATGCAGCATCTTGTCGGCGGCGCGGCCAGGGGGGAAGCGAGAGGGGGCCGGCCTTCTCAGAAGGCGGCGGGGCTTCTCAGAAGCCTTCGCGCCCTCCGAGGAGCCGTCTGTGCCTCCGGGGCAGGCTCGGGAAGCTTCTCAGAGGGCTGGAGGCCTTCTGAGCCTCCTGAGGGGGCGTGCCCCCTCTCACCTCTCCTGCTCCTGCTCCTGCTCCTCCTCCTCCTCCTCCTCCTCCTCCTCCTCTCTCCCCCTCCTCCTCCTCCCTCTCCTCCTCCTCCTCCTCCTCCTCCTCCTCCTCCTCCTCCTCCTCCTCCTCCTCCTCCTCCCCTGGGCGCGCCGCCGTTCTTCTGCCGAAGTTTCCCGCGCAGCCGCGCCGCTGGCCGCCGTGCTCGTCCGGAGCCGCCGCTCTGCCCACGGAGGCTGGGCGCGCCGGGGCTCTGGGCCGCAGGGCCGCGGGACCTCGGCAGACCAGGCGCCGACGCCTCTCAGGAGGAGCAAAAAAGCACGCACAGGCGCAAAGAGTCGTCGATCTCCATGCCCAGGTCCCGTCTCGTTATTGAAAGATCACGACGGGAGGTTCTCCGCTGTTTTCGAAGGAAAAGGGTTGCGGAGGAAGAACCGGGCCCGGGGAAGGGGGTCCAGACGTCCGAGGGGCACGTCATGAAAAATCACGATGTCGGGGGGGCCGGGTGGGAATGTGGAACATATGGGGAGTGGGTGGGAAGACGAGCCTCCAGAGCATGCGTAGAGAATGGGGGGAATCCTGGGATTTGTGTCCGTTTCTTCGTGTATGCTCCCCGTCCAGCGGCGCCGGGGGGCGCGGCGTCTCCCGGTGGGGGGGTCCTTCTCCCGGGGTGTCTCGGGGGGGTCCTCCAGGGGTCCACGGATTGGTAAGATCGAAATGGGTACGGAAAGACGGGCTACGAAGACCGACGGCGGTTCTTGTTCATTTGTGAACAGGATTTGTTGTCGGTGTCGCAGCGGACGTTGTTTATTTGAGACAAAGGCCGCCTGCTCAACAGCGGCCGCTGCCGATTTTGGACAACATTTGCTGTTGGGCATCGTACTGACTTTTCCGTGCCCATCTCGGGCGTCTAAAACGGAGGTGCTCAGAGCACCTAGAGGCCTCTGGGGGCCTTCGGGGGTTCCCGGTCGAAGCCAGGCGGAGCAGGTGCAGCAAACATGCAGAGAGGGGTAATTACAAGGAGAATTGGGCGGAGCGAGGACCGAGGACCGAGGACCGAGAACCGAGGAGGAGGAGGAGGAGGAGGAGGAGGAGGAGGAGGAGGAGGAGGAGGAGGAGGAGGAGGAGGAGGAATAAGGGGAGGAGGAGGAGACGCGGCGGATGCGGAGGTGGAGGAAGAAGGGGAGGCCGAGGAGGAAGATGAGGGGACAGGGTATGCGTCCTCCTCTGCTCCCTCGTCGTGGTGCTCCTCCTCTTCCTGCTCCTCGTCCTTCTCCGCCTCCCACCCCCTTCCCCCCTCTTGTCGTCCTCGTCCTCGTCTGCGCCGCCGCCGCCGCCGACACCGTTTCGGCCGTGGCCGCTGTCGCCGCCGCCGCCGCTGGCGTCGCCGTCGCCTCCGTCGTCGCTGCCCTCGTCGTCGTCGCCCTTGTCGCCGTCGCGGCCCTCGTCCTCGTCGACGCCGCCATCGTCTTCGTCCTCGTCCTCGTCATCGCCGCCGCCGTCGCTGTCGCCGTCGCCGTCGCCGTCGCCGTCGCCGCCGCCGTCGTTGTTGTCGTCGTTGTCGTTGTCGTTGTCGTCGTCGTCGCCTCCTCGGAGCCACAGCCGGGGCGCGGAGCAATCGGCCGGCGGTGCCCCGAG